GGTACTTATTATTATTATTATTATTTCTTCTTTTATATTTCTTTCCTACTTTCATTTGAATAGCGGAACTTGTTTCGAAACCAAAACATTAACCGAAAAACTGGAATCAAATTACTAAACAGCTTCGTCAAATCGAGACTTTCATATGACGTCACGCAGGTAGTTCAACTCTGTACAACTGCTTTCTCAGATCAAAGATTTAAAATGGTTTCTAGCGAATGATATCTGTAGGTTTGAACTAGGACCATTCTTCTTCGAACCTTTTGGACTGGCGCTACAGAATCACAAAATAAAGAACTGTACCAAACATCAGAAACCATATCCCTTGAGGTCTTTCAACAGCAGCAATAACTAAAATGAATAGCACGTGTAAGTTGAAGAGAAAATAATGACATAATTAAGATGTTGACATTGCACAAAACTTGAAACAAAAGGTTAAGAAGGAAACCCCATATGGTAATTTAATAAGCATATCCCATCTCCCCTTTCGTTTGTAGCCATCCACCACAATAAAATAAATGTTTTTTCAGCACTAAAGCAGAACGAGTCAAATAAAATTTCTACTAAGAACTGTCACTATATTACAGCTCCAATCAGTAATAGAAAGAGCGATAACAGTTACTAGTATGGAGAAAAGTATTTTTCTGAAAATTTTTTTTAATGGTCAGATTTTATAAATTTAAATTCTAAGCAGCCGTGGTTGGTCAGTCAAGGAGTGCTGAAAATGCCCTTATAAGGTAACGGCTATTACTACCATTAGGTTTACCATTTCTGTCTTTCTTTCTTCGTTTTCTTTCTTACTTCCTTTCTTTTCTCATTATATCACATGACAATTTCTTTGTTTTGTAAATAGATGTGTATTTTTACATTTCTTCTTTTTTTGTTTTTAATTGTCATTTCTCTGATATATTTATAATTCTCCTCCCATTTCTTACATTCAACTAGCCCTTCTTTTCAATTCTTTTCTTTTTTTTCTTTTTTTTTTTGCTTTGTATAAACTGCTGGATTCACTCATTCAACAACATGCCATGAACAGGGAGGGCGATCGAAACACAAGATCTGGAAGTTGGCAAAAAAAGGCTTGTCGGGATAGGTAAATACTGGGCCGTAAAAATTTAGATTAAGGTATCTTTTTGACATATTCTCTCTAGACATTACACTGATATCTCCCTTTCTTCCTTAGTCTCCAATGACTTTAACCTCCTTCCACACAGGATGGTTTTATGAATGCGCTACAGAAACGTTCAATTTAATGCTACTGCTTCTTCTTCGTATTCTTCTTCTTCTTCTTCTTCAACTATTTCTTCTTCTTCTTCTTCTTCAACTTTTTCTTCTTCTTCATCTTCTTCTTCAATTTTTTCTTCTTCTTTTTCTTCGTATTCTTCTTCATATTCTTAGTATTGTTCGTCTTCTTTTTTCTTTCTATTTTTCTTCTTCCTCCTCTTCTTCTTGTTCTTCTGCGTATTATTATTCTTTTTCATATTCTTCTTCTATTTCGTATTTTTCTTTTTCTTCGTCTCCTTCTTCTCCGTATTCTTCTGTGTATTCCTCTTCTTCTTCAAATTTTTTCTTCTTCTTTTTCTCCTTCTTTTTCTTCGTATTCTTCATATTTTTATATGCTTTTTTATTTGTATTCTTCTTCATTTTCTTCTTCTTCATCTTTTCCGTATTCTTCTTTGTATTCGTCTTCTTCAAATTTTTTCTTCTTCAATGTTTTTCCTTTTTCGTATTCTTCATATTCTTTTTTCTTTGTACTCTTCTTTTCTTCTTCTTCTTTGTATTCTTCTTCTTCGTTTTCTTCTTCGCATTCTTCTTCGTCGTATTCTTCTAATATACCTACTACTACTACTACTACTGCTACTATAACGACAAGCTCTTCTTTTTCTATATGCCTTCTGTTCAGGATGTCTTCGATTATGACTCTCCACTACTCCCTGTCGTTTTTCGCCCTTAGTATAAAAAAAAAATGTGTCTTTTGCTATCTTTCTTAATCCTTGTTCTGCCAACCATTTGTAAAATTTGTTATACGCTGCCCTCCTCCGTCTCTCTTGCCTTCAATATGTCACGTGAATGTCAAATTCTATATGCCATCTTTCCTTTTAATGTGACCTAGAAATTTCAACTGTCTCTTTCTGATACGACTTACGAGTGTCGTTTTTGTTTCCACTCTCTCTAAAACGTAGTAGTGCTCTGTCCATGGTATTCTCAGCATCCTTCTGTAGAACAACAACGTTTATTTCTACTATTCTACGACTACTACAACTAAACTACGACTAGATCGACTACTACCACTACTACTGTGGAGGATGTTGTAATTAATTAAATTATATGAATCAAAATTGTTGAGTAAATTAGGCTGCGTGATGAAATTAACAATTTCCTCTCACATTAAATTTTAGTATTCAACAAATATAGAATAAGGACAATATGAGAAAGAACTGTTTTTGCACAACAATGAATAAAATATTTAAATACAATGAATCAATTTCTTCATCCACCGCAAGGAAAGTTGGAACCCTGTGCCGCAACAAGAAAATTTTCTCCCTGGAATCGATCTACAAGTCAACAATTCGCCCTTGCATGGAGTATTGCTGCCATATATAGTCTGGAGCCCCTTCTGTTTGCCTCGGGGTTCTTGATAAGTTCCAGAGACGGATATGCAATATAATTTGCCCTGATCTGGCATCTCATCTGCAGTCGCTCTCTCACAGACGCGCCGTCGCCTCTCTCTGTCTTTTTTTACAAATACTTTCATGGTAATTGCTCCAAGGAGCTGCATTCGCTGGTTCCCAGACTTCATGAATTCAAGCGTCCTACAAGGCTGGCATCCTGCTCTCACCCTTTCACTGTTGAAACTATTAAATATAAACGTCTCTTCTACTCCAATAGCTTCATATCTTGCACCTCTCCCCTGTGGAACTGCTTTCCCGATTCCTTTTTCCCTGAGAGCTATAATCTCCAACTACTCAAATGTAATGTCAATCGACATCTCCAGTTACCTTGATCTGTCCACTATCCTTCTCCTCATCCTTTCCTCTATCACTCCTATCCGATCTTGCTCCAAATCTTCTGTAACCCCTTGCGTGCTAGTGGCTTCCGCCTTGCTTAGGGTGAAATAACATTACATATATATATATATATATATATATATATATATATATATAACAAATAGGTACAAACAACTGATGTAAAAAAGGTAGTTTTAAAAAGTTGAAATGTCCTTTTATGTTTAGATGAAAAGTTATGAAAGTTCTGGTTTGATAGATAATAATTTGTTGAACCTTCTGTACAATAATGAGAAAGTGTGTTTAGGTATCATAGTAATTTAAGAAAAAAATAAACAGTTCAAGTTTGTATTTGAAATAGAGAAATATTGTTTACGGCTTACTTTAAGGTTTACGGAATTGTCGCTCTTTGATTTGTTTTCACTTGTCATTTGAAGAGAATATTCTGTAGTTGGAGTAAGTGATTCTTAACAAGCTGTGTTTATGTTAATTGCAATAATTAACATTGAGCTTGAAAGCATATGACAAAGATTCGTGTATCAAGTTGAATGTGGGAAACTTGAGTTGATTGTTCATGATAAAATATTGCTGTGTGAGTGAGTGTTCTTTCAGGCTGAAATTATGTTAGGAACTTTAATGTAAAGCCTGGAACAGTGTGACGAGTTCAAAGGATTCCGATCGGCGCACTGTCGAAAGTGAAAGACGTTTCATTTTTTATTGCTAACTTTGATCACGTGATAGGCTCACAGAAGCTTGATAGATTTTGGCAGAATTATCCTTTTGGTCAGGTCGATGTTATTAAATATTAAGTGACCAATTAGAAGTTGAGGTTTTCTGAAAATATTTATTAAGCTGAATAAGCTCTGTGATCCACTTTTTGTACAAAAATTGATGTTGATAAACTACTACCATCATCATTGCCACTATTTCTTCATCTACTACTACTGTTGCAACTACTACAACCAATTAGTTAATACTTCTCCTCTTATGGCTACTGCTACTACTTCCATTTCTTCTCTTACTACAACTACAACTACAACTACTAGAGCTACTATTTTTCTACTACTACTAGTGGCATTAATAATTTTTTTACTATAACTAATACTACTTTTAATACTAACACTACAACTATTTCTTTTTCAAATACTATTAAAAGTAGCTTTTTTTTAATTACGACAATTATTACTACTACTACTATTACTACTACAAGTAAAAGGAAAAAGAGAAAGTGAAGAACATACAAATAAATGGATGAAAAAACAAACCAAATAAAACAATTAAGATGATGGAAAAAAAAACAAGCGAAGATTATTAAACGAGAAAGAAAGTCTGGTGAAGACCGCCATATTTGTCTCCTTTTCGAACTACTCGACTATAAAAGAAACGGTCGAACACCATTTATTGACAGTAGCCAAAATTGCATGGAATAAATCTTCGCCACACGCTTAAACGGTCGTCTGTTTTTTTTTCTTTACAGCGCAAATGAGGTAAAATAAAGAAAATAAAAGGAACAAAAACAAAGAAACAACAACGGAAAAAGAAACATTAAAATGTCAAATGCTATAAAAATTATCAATTTTCACTCAGTTTGTAGTTTTTGTTCTGTGTGGATTTACAAGGCGTTAAATATCCTTGATAGATAGTTAGGTCTGATATACCCATTCAATTCGACTAGTAAATGAAACATCATCAAAACAGTTTTGACTGTTGATCCACACATAGAAATTTTGACTTCCTTTCAACCTCTTCCACATTGTTTTAATTAAGAACATTATACGGTATTTAGCCACATGGAAGTCGATTTCTCATATAAATCGCCCCTGTTTTATATGAACAGACAATCGTTGATTACTGAACAACGTGTATAGTTCAACCCCAGTTGTTCGTGCTTATCCAAGCACGAATTTGGGCAACGAAGCATCATGTTTTACGGCATAAAACAAATTTCAAGGAACTCTTGCTCATATTCTAACTACGAAATATAAACAGGCATACATGGACGAGAACAGATAGATAGATATATAGATAGATAGATAAGCAGGCAGACAGACAGGCAAGTAAGCAGATAGATAGATAGATAGATAGATAGATAGATAGATAGATAGGCAGGCAAGCAAGCAGATAGATAGATAGATAGAGAGAGAGAGAGAGAGAGAGAGAGAGACAGGCAGAGAGACAGGCAGACAGGCAGATAGATAGATAGATAGATAGATAGATAGAGAAAGGCAGAAAGGCAGACAGACAGCCAGGCAAGCAGGAGGATAGATAGATAGATAGATAGATAGATAGATAGATAGATAGATAGATAGATAGATAGATAGAAATGGATATAGGATTGATACAGCCGGGGACAGATCGAAATAAGAAAGGGCGCTGGAATCGTCATAGTTCAAATCACATTCAAAATCTTTAAGGTTGATCAAACATTCAAATTGTATTGAAATTCTTTCTAGGTCGAAAAGTGAATTTCCTCGTAGAGATAGATAGATAGATAGATAGATAGATAGATAGATAGATAGATAGATAGGAATGGATCTAGGATTGATACAGGCTGAGACAGATCGAAATAAAACGGGTGATGAAATGTCGCAGTTCAGCTCAGCTTCAAATTCTTAACATCTGAACAAATATGCAAATTGTTTTTAAATTCTTTCCGTGCCGAAAAGTGCACATTTCAGATTTTCCTCTTGCAGATAGATAAATAGATAAGGAACATAGATAGATAGATAGATAGATAGATAGATAGATAGATAGATAGAAACACACTGAGATAGATAGATAGATAGATAGATAGATAGATAGATAGATAGATAGATAGATAGAAAGAAAGAAACAGGCTGAGATAGATAGATAGATAGATAGATAGATAGATAGATAGATAGATAGATAACTACTTACGTAACTATCTATTTATCCCTCTATCCAGCTAGATAGATGAACAAAACAGATAGATAGATGGACAGATAGATAGAGAGATACATACATACATACATGCATACATACAAAAAAAGAAAGAAAGAACAGACAAAGTTGTAGAGAGATAGATAGAGATAGAGATATATTAGAACATAAACAGATAGATATCAGCTATGAGATGGATCTGTAATTCAGCGCACATAGTCGTCACATGTCTGCTTATTAACACGTATTCGTCCGTTTGTGAAAATGTTTGTGACATAGATGCGAGACAATATAAGCATGTTAACCTAAAGTATTCTTTCGTCGTAAGCATGAGTTCGTCAGAGAATCAAATTGAAAAGCCTTTAGAAATCCCACATTGATTTTTGCATCCTTTCTAAGGAAATAAAAGACAGGAAGCGGAAAAAAAAAACAGTGAAAAAAAGATGGCGACGTTGTCTCTGAAGAAGGCAATGGCGACGGAGCTGTGTTGACTTCCGCACTCGAATCGACAAAACAACCGTGAAATTCACAATAAGACAATGAAAACCAAGTCGGTTTCTAGTTTTGTTTGGGAACAATAGATTTTCGGCGAAAAAAGGTTGATAATCTACAAGGAACTATATATATATATATATATATATATATATATATATATATATATATATATATATATATATATATATATATATATATAAGACATTTTATGTTTATACCTTCATTTTTATAGATACAAATATTTAAGTAAATGCACTGTTTATATAGGATACTGGTTCGATTCCTGTCGGAGGAAGAAAATTTTCTATGAAAATTTCTCGGACATTCAGGCCGGTAAATGTCATTAAATACTGTTTATTATAAACAGAGTATTTACTTAAATATTTGCATCTATAAAAAGAATGTATTAACATAAAAATGTATTATTTGTTTTCATTTGGATACGCCATGAGCAGATATTAATGCACGTGAGAGAATGTTGCTAACCAAACGCTCCTCTGTGGCCAAATCGGTTAAAGGCACGTCAGGCTATATGACGGTTTCGTATAGGATACAGGTTTTCTATGAAAATTTCTCGGACATTCAGGGCGGTAAATGTTGTTTAATACTGTTTATTATAAAGAGAGTATTTACTTAAATATTTGTATCTATAAAAATAATTGTCCATTTCATAATATATATATATATATATATATATATATATATATATATTCCTGTTCAATGTGGAGATGTCGGGGCAGTAAGCAATAAGGCAGAAATGAAGAACTGTGACGATAGCGATGGTTAGTAACGTGCAGCATCAAATTCCAGCCCGGAGAAGAGAAATACATTGAAAATAGATTCAAACTCCTCCAATGCCGGAAAGACCTATTGTACAATGCCAAACGGAAAATCTACAAAATCGACAGAAGAAAAACAGACTAAAATACACAAATAGTAATAATCTCAACAACAACTAAACCGTTATCCTACGTACCAACTCATTTACAGCCACTCTCGAAACTAGCTTATTCAACCCTAAACTGCAATTCATCAGCACCACCTCTAAAACAATAACAAACATAGTTAGCACCAAACAAGATGGCAACAACAAAAGGGCAGATGCAGGAATATATAGAATAGATTGTACGAAATGCCCAGTGATATACATCGGCAAAACATCAAGAAAACTATAGTTATCCTTACGCAAACACACAGACACACATATATATATATATATATATATATATATATATATATATATATATATATATATATATAATATTGGTTATATATATATATATATATATATAGATAGATAGATAGATAGATAGATACACACACACAGACAGACACACACACACACACATATATATATATATATATATATATATATATATATATATATATATATATATATATATATAAATTTCAAGAGGATAGAATCCAGGTAGAACTCAATGTCAAGGACAGAGTAAGAATATAATAAAAAGGCTTAAACACTAATATTTCATGGTTATAATTTATTACATTGGAATCGTAATTATAATCTAATTCATCAGACCTACAAATCCAAAGAGAAATCAGGAAAAATAACTCCGGGAATAAAAAATAAAATTTAGTGAGAGTATATGTATGTCTGAGAGTGGGGGATGAATGTGAGAGGTAAATGAAAGCTTTAGAGAGGGGGTAACAGACGAGAGAAGAACAGGAAGACCTACAAGTGAAGGTGGGGATTAAAATTTAACAGAGAGAAGTTTTAAAGAGACGAGCTTAAATAACGGTTTAAATGAGTGAGATACAGATAAATAGGAATTATTTTCCCATGCATAATTCATTACTGATTTTTTCATTATATATATATATATATATATATGAATATATATATAAATTGACAGTGAAGTCATCACCCAGAGGAGGTGAGAGTATGTCATATGCTAACTGCAATCGTCATGGCCTGACGATGCATTTTACATTGAACAGACTGTCGCCGCTCGGTGTTGACCTCAATTTCTACTTTTATATTACGAGCGTTAAATTCTCCCAGCTTTCTTTCCTCATTATGTGTCCTGGATATTTCAGCTGGCTCTTTTCGTTTCTATTTTTCTTGAACTTCCACGTGATTGACTTGCTCTGTCCATGGCACACTCAGAACCCTTTTGTGGGATCACATCTCTGTTGCCTCAGTTCTCCTCTTTATGTGGGAAGAAACTGTTCAGAATACTTTTATATTTACATACGCTCTATCCTTCTCCTTTCTTTCTTTCTTTCTTTGACGCTTCCCTTTTCATTTTTCCTTTTTTCCTCTCTCTTCTTACATTAATTCTTTCCTTTTCTTAGTTCCTCTCAGTTTTTAATTTCATGTTTCATTTTTTGGTCGAATCTTCTGATAGAGTGAACATCAAAGCAGTGGAAACGGACTTGAGGCCTGTCAATGGTAAGATGGCACGAGATCCCACCTGATACTTCGCCTCACATCACCCAGTATGGAAGTAGTATAGGTCAACCGGGGAATGATTCCTCCAATAGGAGTGAGAATGTCCTGGATTTATATTTGGATACACAGGAAGAATAGTAAAAGAAAACATGATTTAATCCACCATGCAATGAAAATGTAGTTACAAAAATAGGATAATTAATAAAAACAATAAACATTACCGAGGAGTGAAGGTAGTTAAAATAATAGCGGCGTTAAGGGAAAAACCTTCCTTTTTTTACCGGTACGAAGTTCCAAGATTGCCGACATAAATCTATATGACTGCCTACATCGTGAAGGGAGATACCATATATGTAAATATATAACTTACTACGACTGAAAGACTGCAATTACCCGATATGTGCTGAACTTTTTGCGCTGATATATCAACCCTGCACGTAACAAGGCTGTTCATAACAATTTGAAAGATAGAGAAATTTACACAGCGTACCTCAAATGTGGTACTCAGTTAGGTATGAATTCACTTTTCTACTGAGATAAACTTGCTAACCATTACGTCCACTGTTTGATAGATATAACTGCAAGAAATGTAGTAAGTTGCAAACTGTCCTTTACCTGCTCAATGCGATTTAAATGTGGCAAATGTGGGAACCAGTGAAATTCCTGTAAGTCGGTCGACGGTTCCCAGAATCTGTTTCGTGTCATCCAAGCAACCATGTGGTAGGGATAAGTCTTTACGATATCTTGCTTGAACACGCCGCGGAAAATAGCGATGATAAATAGCCATAAATGGTCTACAGCGGGGTCTGTAAATGTGACACATGTCAAGACTGACTTTAATTTCACAAGATAGGGTTCTATATGTCTAGTGTAGATAGTACAGATATGTAGGTAGCTATGCACTGTTTGATGATATAGATAGATAGAGAAGTAGATAGATATAGAGAGAACGAGAGAGATTAAGATAGAAAATGAAAACGTAGATAATAATATATATATATATATATATATATATATATAGATAGATAGATAGATAGATAGATAGATAGATAGATAGATAGAAAAGAACAGGCAGACAAAGATGAAAATATATTGATAGAAAGATAGAAAGATAACTTAGAAAGAAAAAAAAAAAGATAGATAGATAGATAGATAGATAGATAGATAGATAGATGGATAGATAGATAGATATGAACAGAATTAGATAGATATAGATAGAGAGTGGGATAGAGAGAGGGAGAGAGTTTTTTTTACATATTGAGATAGATAATGAAAACCTAGATAATATTATCATGAGATAGATAGATAGATAGATAGATAGATAGATAGATAGATAGATGAAAACAGGCAGAGAAAAATGGAAAAATGGAAATACATTGAGAGATATGAAGAAAACTTAGAAAGAAAAAAGATAGATACAAAGATATATAAATAGATAGATATGAACAGAATGAGATAGATAGATAGATAGATAGATAGATAGATAGATAGATAGATAGATAGATAGATAGATGCCTTATACCCATGCAGAGAGTCCTCTTTAGTCGAAACCGATCCAAAAATCTATGCATTTTTGTCTGATCCGCTCGCTCGTCTCGAAGTCTCGTAACCGCATTTCTTTCTAATTGAGACTTCATTTTCATTTCAGCTGCAAAAACTGATTTTCAATAAAATTTCCGATGATTCCAATCTGAAAATACTTGCCTGTTGTTGAATTTTTTTGTATTCTATTCTGAACTGCACTCACTGTCTGTCTTGATGAGAATGAAGCAAATAATACAAGTGAACTCTTTGTTTAATTTACAATGAAATCTCGCCCACCCGTTATTTGCGAAACTCACTCAAGTGAGTCGAAGCTGTGGAGTTGCCTGAAGTGAGATGTCAGAAGAAGGCGCAAAGAAACGAATTGCCAAGTGAAACGAGAAGAGAAGATAAAGAGTGGAGGAGTCGGGAAGGAGAAAAGTGTAGAAGAACAGGGGAGGAATAGAGAGAAGGAGAATGAAGAGTCAAAAGAGAGAAAGGGTGAGCAAATAACAGAAAGATCGAAGAAGAAAATAAAGGGAAGAAGAAGAAGAAGAAGAAGAAGAAGAAGAAGAAGAAGAAGAAATTTATGAAAATGTGAGGAGGACGAGAAAAGTTTGACAAAAGTGAGAAAAAGAACGAAAGAAAATTATTGATATGTGGAGAAAAAAAGGAGAAAGAAATCAATTGATAAGTGTAAGTCTTAAAGAACAAAACTGAAGAAAAATTTACGAGAGGAAAAAAACACGGGAACAAAATGAAAGAAAGAGAGAGAGAAAAACAAAGAGAGAGAGAGAGAGAGAAACAGAGAGAAAGAAACAAAGAAAGAGAGAGAGAGAGAGAAAGAAAGAAAGAGAAGCGACGATGACAATAAATAGGTAAAAAAAGAAGAAACGAAAAATAATAATAACAAATTCATTGTGGAGGGGGGTCGTGAGAACTGATGACAAAAGAAGAGAATGAAAAAGAAGAAACTGATGAAATTTTGAAAATAAAGAAAGAAAGAAAGAAAAAGAAATTGTTTGGAGAGTGGAAGAACAAATGACAAAAGAAGAGAATGAAAAATAATGAAAAAATCTCATCATTGTCTTCTTTTTTGATTTTGAATGAAAAAAGACAGAAAAAAGAAAGAAAAAAGAAAGAAAAAAGAAAGAAAAAAGGAAAGAAAGAAAAAATGTTTGGAGTGTATGAGAACAATCGATAAAAGAAGTGAATGAAAAATAAGAAAATGATATGATTTTGAAAAGAAAGAAAAAAGAAAGGAAGGAAGGAAGACAAAAAAAAGAATGAAAAATAATTAAAAAAGAAGACAATGATGAGATTTTGAATGAAAAAAGACAAAAAAAGAAAGAAAAAAATGAAAGAAAGAAAAAAGAAAAGAAGAAAAAGAAGAAGAAAAATAAATTGATTGTTGATTATGAGAACAAACGGCAAAAAAAGAGAATGAAAAAAAAATGAAAAAGAAGAAACTGATGAAATTTTGAAAGAAAGAAAAAAAAGAAAGTAATTAGAAAAGAAAAAGAAAAAGAAAAAGAAAAAGAAAGAGTGTAGATGCGAAGAGACAAAGAGGAGAAAAATAAAAAGAAAGAAACAAATTAAACAAAAAAGGAGTAAAGAAAAGACCATTGAAGCAAATACCAAAAAAAAAGAAAAATGATCCCAAATTATTTACTAATGTAATTTTGTGCATAGATACTGGAGGATCTGGGAGCAAAACTTGTGTGTTGTCTCTCCATATAAATTGCATCGTGTTTGAGACAAAATTGCATCATATACTCTACAACAAGACAAGATCTCGCGAGTGAACTACTTCTCTAGACACCTAGCCATGAAGCAAGATGGGTTGGCTACCCAGCAATCACATACATTGACCAGCTATGTAATGACACAGGATGCATATCCTAATGACATTCCGACCTTGATGCAGAACCGTGATGGTTGGCGTAATAGACCCATGAATGTCCGAGCTATAGTTCGACCGAGTAAATTATATAAGAAATATCTAGGAGTTTTATTTAGCGTTTTATTGCTTGGGCAATCAATATAGAGTAGTCTTCTTCTATATACTGTGTCCTTTCCTAACCTGAACAATCATGGCTCTTCACAACTTCCTATTGTTAGTAGTTCTTAGTTAATGTCTGTCGTTTTACTAACCCTCATTCCCTTCGTATTCCATTGGTGAAATTCAAGTTCCACTCGAGCAGCTTCTTGCCGCTAATCGCTGCTTTGTGGAACCGGCTTCCAAGTGGACGCTACCCCGACCACTATAGTCTTGGTTTGTTCAATCTAGTGTCAACAGTTATCTTCCTCACATATCTTCATAAATTGCACCCCTTATCCTACAAACCTCTTCCACGAGTGGCTCTTGGACCATGCCCAGCGTGAACATCATTTTTAAAAATTAAATAAATCCCTCCACATTATTTTTATATTATAAATTGCATTTATGTCTTCAGCTACATGGTGCGATGGGTAAATTGTCGCCATATATATTTTTTTTAAAATTTCGCGCATGCGCGTTGTTTGTTTTGCTTTTGTTGACTGCACAGTATGGTATTAACAGTTGAGCACCGTCTGTGAGAAAAAGAGCACCATGACGCAATTCCCTCCACCCGAAATTTAGATACGGAAGATTCAACACGAACAATTCAGGGCGTTTGGGTGTCAATCTGAGGACAGTGCAGAGGCTGATGTGAAGTGTTGGATGATATATCCAATCAACATTATGGTGTTTGGAGTGATTACTAGTAATGGTGACGTCATGCCTCCATTCATCTTCTCATAGGGCCTCAGACGCAACACGGCGGTCTACATCAAGTGCCGTGAGGAGTTAATGCTGCCCTGGGTCAAGAGAGCGACTGCTGGAAGACGCTATTTTTGGCAACAGGACTCTGCACCATGTCACGCAAACAGAAGAACAGGCATTGCTGTCAGAAAATTTCTGCGACCATATCACAACATAGATCTGGGCACTTAACTCCCAAGGCTACAACACCCTTGATTATTTGTGTGGAGCATAGTCGAGCGAGAGACCAAACTCCTTGTAACACCAAAGATGAACTGAAGGCAAGGATTATAGCAGCATTCACCAGATTAAACAAGGAGACCGCCCAGAAGAGTTGCAGGAGATTCCGAAGTCGTCTGGAGGCCGTGATTGAAGTCAATGACGATTTTATTGAATAAATTTATTCTTTAGTATTTCAAGATATTTTTGTGTAATTTTGGTAAATATATCTGTTAAAATGGGATGTCAGTGTTATTTTCATTTTGGCTTCATTTAGATGACAATTCATCCATCGCTACCTGTATGTTATTCACTGTTTACCGATATGCCTCATGCATTAGCTAAGTCCTACAAGCGTTAAATTCTCCGAGCTTTCTTTCCTCATTATGCGTCCTGGATATTTCAGCTGACTCTTTTCGTTTCTATTTTCCTTGAACTTCCACGTGATTGACTTGCTCTGTCCATGGCACACTCAGCATCCTTTTGTGGGATCACATCTCTGTTGCCTCAATTCTCCTCTTTATGTGGTAAGAAACTGTTCAGAATTCACAGCTATATAGGAAGACTGAAATTACATATAGATTCAGCACGCTTTTCTTTGTTTCTAATGAAATTTTCTTGTTTCTTAATACTCTGCTTAGCTTTTGGGAAACATCTTTTGCTATTCCAATGCTTCTTCGGGTTTCGGTGTCACATTTTCCTACCCCTGTTGAAACACCAGATATTTAAATGCTTTATTTTGATATCTCCAATTCGTAGATCGCATCCTGGGCCGTTCTTCCTGCTGAACAGCAAACATTATGTCTTCTTACAACCAAACATTAGTATCTCCAAAAATATTCTTACGGCCTACCAATATATTCCGGCTTTAAATACCTTGCAAAAGGTTGATACAGAGAACCAGCCGCTCGCGCAAGAGTGAAATTGTATCTTTGTGTGAAACTTCACTCGTCATAGATTTCTCGAAATACAGTTTCATATACAGGACCCTTCGAGAGTACCAAAACCAGCGAATATGTGTGTCTATTGTATGAAATGGCATAATGTCGAATTATAAATTATGACCAGCATCCAATAGACTTTAAATCGTCTCTAGATTGGTATTGTATATGCATTTTTAATCATTTCACCCCAAGTAAGGCGATAATGCCACTAAGGCGCAAGAAGTTACTCGGAGTGTAAGAGAACGAGAAGATTTTAGTGAGGAGAAAGGAGGAGAAAGTGAGGAGAAAAAACAGGTTTCGGGACGACAGCGATTGATGTTGCATTTAAATTTTTGAAGATTGTGTGTGACAGAAAAACAAGAAATCGAAAGGAAGTTCCACAGGCGAGAAGTGCGAAAAAAGAAAATATTACAAAAGAAATTACGGTTGCATCAAGCTATTTCAACACTAAAACGCTGAGACCTTGTGGCTATTTTAACTTTACTCTTAAATTCTTACGGTCGATTAGGTTTGGTTTGATTTGCTTATTTTTTTTTTAACGTCATATCAACTCTTTATGAGTCATTTAAAGCCGAAATTCAATTTTCTTGGGAGATTAAAGTAAGACAGATATGGCATATGTTATTTACACAAGACCGAAATTGTATCTTTGTGTGAAACTTCTCCCGTCATAGAGTTCTCGAAATATTCATATACAGTTTCGTATCCAAACGTAAACAAAGCGAATTTTTCTAAAGTAGTGGGTTATTTTACTAATCCGACAATTTTTTATCACTTTAGTTTCTCTTAAAGGAAAGTTTTCGACCTTGCCTGATAAGCTCAGTTGGTTCCAGAGTGCAGGATTTAACAGCAGCTTCCTCTGTCTCCGGGGACGCAGGTTCAAACGGTTGATAGGCCGTAAAAAATCAATAAAAAAAAGGTTCTGAAATAAGCTGTGTAAACAGATTGTATAATAAAGCACTTTATATCTCCTTTAAGATTTAATCGTCTTCATCAATTATGACTTGCATAGTTTCCAAAATAAGGAATGTATCAAAGGTCTACAAAACCCTATTATAATACACTGTATGCCCACCTTGGGCATTAACAGAGGACTGTCATTTCAAATGTATAACAGCAAGTGTGGAGAATACCAAAAATTTTAATGTACGGCGAGCTCTCCTCTGGTTATCGCGGCAGAGAAGCGATTCAAAGATTGCCTGAAAAAATCCCTTGGTGCTTGTCACATCAGCCATTGCCAACGGTCAACCCTAGCTAAGAACCGTGCGCCTCACCATCAACTATGCTGTCTCCTTCTTTGACAATAACTGCAGGGTCGCTCTTAGGGGAGAAGAGGTAGTATTGCAACGCTATGTCATCAATCTCAGGCCGGAATTTCAGCTGCAACTACTGCGACCGTGTATACCGATCCCGCATTGGATTTATCAGTCACAGAGGTGCCTGCAAGCGACGTGTATAGACTCCCTGTTGATCTTCGTTTTGCGAAGCCAAGCCATGATGATGATGATGATGATATATTAACGCATGCCTCTCTCAGCTGGTTTCGTTTCGTTTGTTTTACGGCATATCAACTCTTAATTTAATGTCGAAATTTAATGCTTTTCTAAACAAACACTTGTATTTAAATAGTTAAAAAAAATATCATTTTAAATAGCAAGACTGCTGTTAGTTAATGTTATATTTATTCCTTTTAATTATATATTTGAAATCAGCTTTATATTTTTTTAGTATTGCATTGTCATTTTGCAATAAAAATGTATTGTTACACATTTTATTATAAAAATGTACTATTTATTTTTGTTTTGGGGTTCACTGTTTGCCCATAGCTGGGACCCTAACAAGTGCTACCACCTCAGGTCAGAGTTGACCAGGGAACAACAGCACTTAGGAGGTGGTTCCACGCTCCTCAAAACCTCCAATCTCCCGATCAAAGGCCTTGCTGCCGGATGTAGTTTATCGTCATACCCAGGACGATTCTCAGCTGGAGAAATGCGCGCCGCTCATTAATGCCACTTACTCTATAACTACATTGAATTACAGAGAATCGTATTTTGACGATCTCCTGGATGATATGATTAAATAAACAAGCAAATGTCTGTTTACATATCAACTGATTTATGATAGCATAAAGATGGCTGGCATGTTGAGGAATCCTGGAAATCGAGGGAGATTGATAGAGATTCTGGAAAAAAATGAAGAAATATGAAATATCTAAAGACTTATATGATACATACATTCATTACACATCTATCACTTCAAAGATATTTCCTTCATAGATATACTACGTAAATATAGGCAACGCAATGTTTCGTCTGGATACTTTGAGGTTATTACGAAATATACAGTGTTCTTCCTCCGAACTCCGACAAGGAAAAATTGTAGATGCATTTTTCTGAAGGTTAATGAAATACTTACATAATCTCTATATATAAAATTGTAACCTCTTTCTGTTATCAAACTCCTCCTAGGGTTTTAGAGATAGATCCCCATAACCATATATATACTGAAACTACATTACCCAGAGTAAGAATATTTCATTTTGATCAAAAAGAATCCCGGAGGGAGGTACAAACCCCCTACTGGAAATTTTTCTCCTCTGATTTAAATTAAATCTAAATTTGAAAAAAGGAATGATTCCTATCCAAAATATAGAACGAGAAAACCAGAAGATAGAGGTC